GAACTGCTGTCCAACCACCTCCGACTGCGCAACACGCTCAGACCCCGCAAGGTCCACAAGGTTCATCCGGCTGTTCTTGCCAGCCGTCGTGATGATCTGCCCCGTCGCCGTCTGCATCGACCGCTCCTCGCGCAGTATCAGCGTGAGAATCGCGTGGCTGCGACTGCTGCGGTCGTTCATCTTCGTCGCGGCGGTATGCCGCACGCTGTTGCCAGCCTCGATGAGCGCCACAACGTCCTCCAGCCTCGACACCTCACGCAGCTCCTGACCCTCGACGAACACGCCACGCGTCGGGTGCTCCCGCACCTCCACAAACTCCTCCTCCTTCGCGCCCTTCTTCCGCCTCGCCAGCAGGTCCGACACGCGCTCGTTGTACACCTCGATGTACCCCACCTCCACCGCCCACTTCGAGTGGCCCTCCGCCTCGACGCGCTCACGCATCCGAAACAGCTCCAGGCACAGCCGCGGCGTCACGCCGGCGTCTGCGCCACCCAGCGCGTTCGGGTCGCCCCCCATCATCGTGTATGTCTTGCCGCTTCCGGTCTGCCCGTATGCAAACAGGCACGAGTTGAACCCGTTGAACGCATGCGCCACCAGCGGCCGACCAATCGCGTCGTACACCTCGGCCTGCCCCACCGGCTTGCTGCCGCACTCATCGGGGCAGTTCAGCGACCAAAACACATTGTCAAACTGGAACGCCTTCTTCACAGTCGTCGTATTCATCTCCTTTGGTCGTGGGTTGAAAATTGTAACAACACTCCTCTTGGAATTCATTGCCAGCACGCTGATTAACGAAGCGCTACTTTCTCTTGTGTCGAACGGGCGCACGCGCACCGCCACCTTGACACTTTCCGACTCCCCTTTAGCTGTCTCGTCCTCAGCGCTGCGTCTCCGCGCTGACGCCGCATCCTCTGGGGGCGGTGTCGCATTCGTCTTGGAACCCATATGTTATCCGCCTGTCAGCAACGCCTTTTAGATTTGCCTCTGCTCCCCCAATTCCTGTCGACAGTCGATGAATCGTCCACGCAAAGAGTGCGGGAGGGAGTGAACACCCAAAAAAAAAAAGGGCTTTAAAAAGAAAAAGTATACTTCCTCTCTTTGATGTCAGAGATATATATATATAATCTCTGCCGTCTACTTTCTACACTATCTCCGAAGTGGGCGAGGGTGTCAAAACGCCTTCTCCCACTTATTACCGTGTCTGGCCCCAAACAGCCACGTGTAAACTCTAGAGCGTTTCTCACGCCTTAACTCTACGGGTGTAGCGAGGCGCCTGCACAGTCGTCTACGTACTATGTGTTGTACGATGCGCTTCCTCTCCTTCCTGGTGTCGCCTCCGCTACTATGTGTGTATGTGTTGCCACGCTGTCAGCCCGCCACCCGCAGTCACAATGTCCGCAACAACGACGTGTCAACGCGTCCCCCACACACAAACAAAGAGAGAAACAAAAACAAAAAAGACCGCGTAAAGCGCAGGAGCCTAAACGCAAGGAAGGTGAGAAAAAAGAAACATGCAGCTCAACTGGTAACACCCACGAATGCCAATGCACACAAACGAATGCGCACACGCATCCAGGCAGTCGACGGACCAAACACATCACGTGCACCAACGGCAGCTCTGCACGCAAGGTGAGCCGGGGAGCAGCAACAAGAAAAAAAAAAATCATTACGGTCAACAAACCTGTCACGGTCCTCAACATTGATGGCAAGCCCACCCTTGTTAGGACGAGCAGAGCCACGCAAGACGCCGCCATTTCGTAAAAGACACACGCCCCCCCCACAAAAAAAAAAAAAAGCAATAAAAGGTCAACAAAGTACCTCAAATCACAAAGACAAGCAAAACAAAAGAAGCTCTGCTCAAAATTACTTCACAACGTGTGGAAGTACATTCAGCGTTCACCAGCTTGTACTTCATCCAACGCAGCCAAATCAATGAAAAAACACAGGCCCTACACATACAGATAAACCACTAAAAACCTTATTTCCACATTTCAAGCACAGAACGAGTTACCTGATAGTCCTCACCACCCTCGATCGACTTAGACAGAGGATCCGACACATGCACTGACCTCAAATAATTAAGCCGCACGTTAGCCGCATCCAACATGAACAAAGCCTTGGACAAATCATCAGACAACCTTGCATTCTCACTTTTCAACTTCGCTACCTCATCCCCATTACAACACCCGGCAACAGACAAATCCTCACGCAACTTATCACATGCTGCAACAACGCTCTCATGATCCTTCACCAACAGCGTGAAGCTTTCCAACCCCGCATCGCGCTCCATCGTCACCGCGTCCAGGCTGTGCTCCACCTGCGTCTTCGCCTCCTCCACCTCACGCAGCTGCCTGCTCAACGTATCAGTCGTGGTGGCCAGGCGCTCCTGCAGCCCGTCGCGCTCCGTCGTCACCGCCTCCAGGCTGTGCTCCACCTGCGTCTTCGCCTCCTCCACCTCACGCAGCTGCCTACTCAACGTATCAGTCGTGGTGGCCAGGCGCTCCTGCAGCCTGTCGCGCTCCGTCGTCACCGCGTCCAGGCT